GTGCCACGTTAGTGTGAGTGGGTGAGATAATCCCATTAATGAAACATAGGTTTTGATAAAAACAAGGAAAAAATAGAGTTAGTAAGAGGGAAGTTGTCCAAACAAGATAAGAAAAGAAAAAGGAAAAGAGGAGAAAAGGGAGAAAAGAGAAGAGAATAAGAGAGAACTCTAGAGGATCTACATCCAAGGAAAAGGGAGAAAAGGGAGAAAAAAATTTAAAAAATCAAAATCTGAATTGTTTTGTCATCATAAAAAAGGGGGAGATTGTTAGAACAAAATTTGGTTCTAATCATATCTTAGAGTTTTAATTATAACAATGAAATAAATTTTGATAATATATTTTATACTCTGATGTGCATGTTTTTTAATTCAGATGATGTTCTGACTCAAGCATTCTCAAAAGTGAAACATCATTCTACGCTGAGCAGAAAAAGGATAAAGAAGTTCCTAAGAAAATTTATGTAAACACAAGTCTGAAGCAAACTCTGAAGGAAGCACTCCAAGGCAAACTCTGATAAAAAGTAATCTTAAGCAACCTCTGATAAAGCTAGCTGAATCAAAGATTTGAAAGAAGCACGCTGAAAGCAATATCTGATAATGCAAGCTGAAGCAAACTCTGATGAACATAAAATGAAGAAAACTTTGACAGAAGGAGTGATATAGAAAACTCTGATAGAAGAAAAGTTAAAGCAAACTCTGATGTTGCAACACTGCAAGCAAACTCTTAAACTTCCAGAGACAAGCTCTGACAATACCGTTGATCATTTAATGCTAAGACGGCTAACACACTCAAATGGTACTACGCACGAGAGCATTGGAAACATAAAGGTCAAGCTAACACGCATCATTAATACATACTCTCTCTTCAATGTAGTAACGGTCAAAATTTGAAGCTATATATAGAAGACCATTTGTTTCAAAGCAATGTTACTGATCCACTCAAAATATACTGAAGCTCACTATTTTCATTCTTGTAAACTCTTTGTATATAGTGGGTAATTCTTAAGTGCTGGGCTAAAATCTTAGTGATAAATCACAATTTATGATATAGCTTATTAGAAGCATTCTGATTCACTACTGTTAAGAGATAATCTTTGTAATTGTTCCTTGAGAGACCAGTTGGGTCAGATTTCTCAAGAGGGCTAGGACTAGTTGAGTCTTAGAGGTGTTAGTCACTTGCATTTGACTTGTGTATTGTATTGTTAGTCACAACAATTTGGTTATACATTTGTAATCACTTTTGATTATAGTGGATTAAGTCCTCGTTGAGAGAGGCGAAATCACCTTGGCGGATGGACTAGAGTAGTTTGAGTTTCAAACGAACCAACATAAAATTACCTGTGTCCTTCCATTATTATTGCACGAGAAAAAGGAAAAACTTATTCAACCAACCCCCCCCCCCCCCCCCCCCCCCCCCCCCCCCCCTTTAAGTGTTTTCTCGCCCATCATTAAGCGGTCATGGATGGGTCCAAGAAATATTGCAAGGTAACTTCACTCGTTGTTATGAGATGTTTCGAATGGAAAGATATATTTTTAGTTTGTTCTGCACTGAACTAGTTGCTCATGGTTTAAAGTATTCTAAAATAATGGGAGTTGAAGAAATGATTGCAATGTTTTTAGTTGTTGTTGAACACGGGGTAGGTAATAGAATGATTTAAGAAATACTCGGGAAGACTGTTAGTATACATTTTCATCGGGTACTTCGTGCTTGTCTTAAGTTATCTCTCAAATATATTAAACCTGAAGATCCTACATTTCATGATTGTCATCCCAAAATAAAAAACGATCAATGTTATTGGCCTTTTTTTAAGAATGCTATAGGAGCAATTGATGATATACACGTGTCATGTGTAGTTAGTGCCAGCGAGTAAACCAAGTTTATTGGAAGAAAGGGATTACCTACACAAAATATAATGGTTGTATGTGATTGGAATATGTGTTTCACTTTTATATTAGCCGGTTAGCAAGGCACTGCTCATGATGCACGTGTTTTTGACCAAGCTCTCACAAATGTGAATCTTAATTTTCCACACCTTCCTCCAAGTTTGTTCTTTTTATTACTACAAATGGTTTGTTATATTAATAATATTTAACTTCACTTTTAAATTATTTATTTATTTTTATAGGTAAGTATTATTTGGTAGACTCTGGCTATCCAACACCAATAGATGTGAACGTTATCACCTTCCTAATTTTAGGCGTTCTAACAGATTCACAAATAATAATAAAGTATTTAATTATTACTACTCAAGTTTAAGGTGCACAATAGTAAGAACTTTTAGAGTATGTAAGAAGATATTTACAATTCTACAGTGTATGCCTAAGTTCAAATTTCAAACATAGGTTCAATTAGTCGTCGCAACAATGGCTATATACAACTTTGTTAGAAGGAATACAGAAATTAATATTGATTTTGATCTTTATAAAGATGAAAATACAATCATTTACCATGATGATTATCCTAGATCATCTAACTTAGACCAATCACAAGTTTTAAATGTCTCTTCTTCATTAGAGATGGATCGCGTTCGAGATTCAATTCGCGATAAAATTATAGAGTACAAGTTAAGAAATTAGTATTGTTATAATATTTTAGTACTATAATGCATTTTAAATTTTATTATCTGTTTGTAATTTTCTTTTGACATGCTTCATGTTTAACTATTATGTTAATTTAGTAATTTTTATATTTATGTGTTTAACAATGTCCATTTTAGTAATTATACACTTAAAATCAATTTTGGTAAAGATTATCCAAACAATATTATTCGATAACAATCACTTTTACACGAATATATCCTAACTTAAATCAATTTTGTCAAATTCAATTCTGTCAAAATCAATTCTATCAAACTCAATTCTGTCAAAATCAATTTTATTCCCCGACAATTCAAACACACACTTTGTATGATTATTTAATATAATTAAATTTATATGATTATTGTTCATTTTACAAATAAGTAAATGATTTCAAATTTTCTATTTATATCTAAAATCTTACATTTATATTTGTTAAAATTCTATTTTTTCCTTCAATTCACATATTCTTTTTTTATATGATTATTTAATATAGTTGAATTTTTATGATCATCTACTATCAAACAATTACTATTTAATTGACCAAATTACGTATTACATACAAAATTAGCACATAAATACGATAATAAAATATTTAATCTTATGGATCACTTTCAATACAATACCTATTTTGTTTTAATTAACAATGACTTTTATTTGAAAATCAAAACCTTTATTTTCAATTTTTCAATTTTTTTTTCTTTCTCTATCTCATTAATTTCTTTTTTCCTTTTCATTTTATATAATTATTTAATATAATTGAATTTTATAATAATTAATTTTTTATATCCTATCAAATAAATTGAACACGAATATCTTAGTAGTTTTATTTACAAGAGCTTTTGAAAATTTGGTGAGGTTTGGTGGTAGCCCCTAGTGGGAAGCTTGAGGTGTGAATTTTCAAAGGCTATTAATAACAATAGCAACCATATTCCCTTTTAACCGAATTATCTTCAGATTTTTTCAAAGGTATTTAATAATATGTCAGAACTTTGAATTTGGCGTCAAGAAACTTAAAGGGTATATTAGTAGGATGCTTGACTAATAATTTCGTGATTATGTTAATTTTCATCGTTCATTTTGAATCCAATATTTTTTAGTCTTGGTTACACTCTCAGATTATCTCCCACGTCAAAATTACAGACACCTCTCTCTTTTGTATATAGATAAAGTAATTGATAATTATCAGAAATTTATACTTTTAAATTTGAATTCAAAGTATAGTATTTTACGTTGTTAAAGCATAACCATTAGACTCATTACTAAATTATAGATACTTTTTCCACTATTATAAAGTGACACCAATTGAGTACTTTTTTTTTTCTTGCTTGGCCCGAGTGCTGCTTGCAAAGAATGGAAAAGAAACACTTAAATGTGGTAGATGAGTGAACATGGCAACATTGATGGAGTTGGTGGCTTGTAAGGACAATATGGTTTGATATGGTAACATTTTCTGTTCTTCTGTTTAATCTAAAGTTTCAAATTTCAATCCTAATAAATAAATAACTACTCCAATCATCACCTGCCACATTAACTGCATCAACTGACTGTTTAAGGTTGAACTGAAAATAAGAAAAGCAACAAAACACTACATGTAATCATGTCATTTCTTATACTATAAGGTCATGCTACAGTCTCCACTACCCTGTTGTGTAAACTCCAAGCATTTCCACATGATCATCTACAACTTTGACTTTATCATAACAATTTCCTCAATATATTACTACATACCAGTACTTTTGAATAGAACTAAACTTAGGTCTAGTTATTTTTGTGATATTTTCATGTCAAAACTACACCAGATCCCTATTTAAAATTATAGGTGCATGGTTTTTTATCCATAGTATCTCGATCATTCCTGTTACTTTTTTTTATGCGTGTCTGAATCGACAATGAGTTTGGCTAAGTCACATTCACATAATGCTTTTGATAAAGCATCAAAGTATAATTTGTAAAGATTATGATTCCACCATAGTAATATTCACTTTGAATCCAAAATTACACATAGATGATACTCTTACAGAATATTGATCAAAATAGATACTCGTGCAGAATGTTCATGTTCAGAATGAAGCAAGTGTCAGGTAAACAAACACTTGCGTTATGACAAAGACAGACTCTTAAAACTTTGCAAGAATAAAATCACACAACTAGATTACTGTCTCATGTTCTTTGTTTAGCAAACTAAAGATAAAATAGAACAAGTTCAGAACAGACAAATAAAATGGTCATCTACTCATATCATCATATACAACAAGGGGAAAATGGTTTATCTCAAAATTTTCTTTACACTAATTTAGTACAAATCACATAACTGCATTACCTCTCAGTAGCTATAATCAACTGTAAGTAAGACCTAGAATTAAATTACCTTATAAACAAAACAAAACAAAAAAACCTCTTTTCAATTATCATATACAAAATTACAGATCCCTTCTGCATAATGGGCAAGAACCATGCCTCAAGAGCCACATATCTATGCAAGGTAGATGAAACATGTGATGACAATGAGGTAAACTTCTAACAGTCTCGCCGAGCTGAAAGTCCTGCATATAACAATCAGAAAATGTCAATATCAAATTGAAAATTGAAACACAGAATAACAAGAAAAAGTGCAACAATAAAAAACAACCTGGAGACAAACTGAACAAGAAACTTTCTCCCCTGATGCATCGACATTGTCGGCGGTGATTTTGATTTTTGGGATTTTCGCAACGGAATCTCCGGATAACCCTTTGGAACCACCAATGTCAAAGAGGTTTTGAACCTCGTCAAAGCTGGTTTCAACCAGCACCCATCTATAAAAAAAATATCACAAGTGTCAGAAACTCTATGAAATAGTGATCAGTGCAAAATTGAAAAATCTTATGTACAAATCAATATACCTGACTCTGAACAGCACTCAACATTGCAGGACCAATCCTCTCACGCACGAGTCTTCCACTCAACAAACTAGCAATAACATCAATCTGCATAACTCAAAAGGATCAAAATCCAAACCACAAAACATGCCATTATGAATATGAATGATATATAAAAACTCAAAAGGACTAAAACTTCACATTTTGCAATCACGTAGCTACAACAGAAAAGCTTCCAACACAAGAAAATATCTCATTCCAACAAACCTACTCACCAAATATAAAAGACAACCAATCCCAGATTCATCAGAATGCCAAAGAACAAGAGATGATTCAAACACTTCAATCGAAAAAACAGCTCCTGATATAGCACCAACAGCAGCACCTCGAATGAAACCACTTTCTGTCTCTTGACCTATCAAAGCTCCTGTCATAGCACCCAACAACGTCCCCACTGCATCACAAAACAACAACCCATTAAACCTTAAAAAACACAAATGCCACATCTCAACGTTTAAAAATCAAAACAACGAACACACAAACCAATCAACAAAATTGCATACACCCAAATCGCAAGTTTCATTTTTTCTTCCAAATTTCACATACCCAAACCGAAAATTTCTCATTTCCGAAAAACGAAATTACAATACAACACCGGCCACTTACATTGACATTGCAAATTCACCCCCAAAAATGAAACAAATCAAATAATCATAACAATGATCGGAAACAAGAAACAAACCTAATGCGAAGCAAAAGGTCAAGATCGCCGAGAAAATGTTCCCAATGATCGCGGAAACAGCGAGAGTACCAATTTGTTTAACCTTATCAACCAAATTCCCGAAGGAATCGAACAAAGACGAACGAGATGGACAAGGATTTTCCATCTAGGTTTGTCAAAATCGCACGAATTGTACAAACAAAACAACAACAAAAACAATTGGTAAAGTATGTTCGGTTTAAATTGATGTCACAAGAATTGGGTTTAAGAAGGAGTTATATATATAATAACACAATAATAATAAATAAAAAGTAGAAGAAAAAATGATGAATAATAATATGATTTAAAAAAAAAGATAAAATTGATATTTATAATAAGAGAAAGCTTAATCTGTAAGAGAGAAGAAAGAAAGAAAGTACGATCAACCAACTCGCATTTAAAGCTTGTGTGCCATAATAGGACCAATTTTCAATATCTCTCTATCTGTTTTTTTTCTTTCTTTTTTTAAAACTGTAAATTAATTTTAATTAGGTTTAATCTTAATTTCGTGTTAATCACTTTCATAATATCACGGGTTGAGATAGTGACAACTAATTGTCACATGAAATTAATAATTTGTTACTGTTAATTTTTTACAACTTTTTTAGCTTAGTTTAATTAAAGATGTTTCCGATGGCTTTCGTTGGCTACGGTTTTCTTAACAATTGGATTATCATGACAATATTTTTTTAAATATTTTACTATCTACTACTACTAGTGTATTTAATTTAAATTTTTTATTTATTATATATTATAGTGTGCAGTAGTGTATTATTATTTTTGTCGAGTATAGGGTATGTGATGAAACTATCTACGTCGGATTGGGGTAGTAGGTAGGTAGTAGTAGACTTTACTAGAAATGTGATATGGTACAACATTAATAGTATATTACTCCAACCATCATCATCATCATCATTATTATTATAATAATTATTATTATTATTATTCTCTTTTGAGTATCACTTTTTAAGATCTAACGTGTATTACTTGAATTAGCACCAACTAACTAATTTTTTATTAGAATTTTTTTTTAATTATTAAGTTAGAAAAAATCTAGTAATTTATAAATGTTTTTTTTTTAATTTAAATTATAATATTTGCTACTACTATTTACAGCGAGCGTATTACTTACCCATTAATCACTCTATTTCAAACCCGTTACTTTGTTGTTTGAGAAATTTGAGTCAAATTGACAATTAAATCTATTAAAACAAAATCTTTTCAATTCATTTATTAAAAAATTTATTTAATTTATCTATCACATAAAAATAAATTAATAAATTAGATAAAATTCATCTATTTATATATATATAGATCGACTCAATCCATCCAACATATTTAAATAATTCAATCAATTACTTTAATCATATATTTTAAAGGGTTAAATAAATTTTTGGCCTCTCTGAATATCTCGAATTTCGTTTTAAAAAATTTAGAGGGACTAAAAACAAAATTTAGATATTTAGAGGGACTAAAAACTTATTTAACCTTACTTTAAATCCATTAAATTGTTTTTTTTAAATGATAAAAAAATTATATTTTTTACGAAAATACAATAAATCGAGTTTTTTTTGCGGAAATACATCAAATTGAGAATTTTTAATAAAATATAATAAATTAAGTTTTTGCAGAAATACAGTAAATTGAATTTTCCAGAAATACAGATAATCGAGTTTTTTATAAATACAATAAATCAATATTTTTTATGGAAATACAATAAATCAAGTTTTAGGCGAAAATAAAGTAAAACGAGTTTTTAGCATAAATACAATAAATCGAGTTTTTTTAACGAAAATCAGTAAATTAATTTTTTTATCAAAATACAGTAAAATGAATTTTTACGAAAATACAGTAAATCGAAATTTTTATGGAAATTATTTAAATTGAGTTTTTGCGAAAATACAGAAAATCATGTTTTTTATTAAATACAGTAAATTGAGTTTTTTAATGAAAAATACATTAAATCGAGTTTTTTGCGACAATACAATAAATTGAGTTTTTTATGGAAATAAAGTAACTCAATATTTTTTTAACTAAAATACAGTAAATTGAGTTTTTGCGAAAATACAATAAATCAAATTTTTTTACGGAAATATAATAAATCAAGGTTTTCCCAAAATATAATAAATCGATTTTTTTTACGAAAATACAGTAAATTGAGTTTTTAGCAAAAATACAATAAATAGAGTTTTTTGTGGAATACAATAAATGTAGTTTTCTAAGGAAATTCAGTAAATCAATATTTTTTACCAAAATACAGTAAAATTGAGTTTTTGTGGAAATCCAATCAATCAAGTTTTTTTTACAAAAATACTGTAAATTGAGTTTTTTTTCGAAAATACAGTAAATTAAGATTTTTTTATAGAAATATAGTAAAATGAATTTTTGTGTGGAAATATAATAAATCAAGTTTTTTGTGGAAATACAATAAATTGATTTTTTTTATAGAAGTACAATAAATCAATTTTTTTGCAAAAATACAATAAATCAAGTTTTTTTACGAAAATAGTGTAAATCGAATTTTTTGTGAAAATCCAGTATATCAAGTGTTTTTATGGAAATTCAATAAATCGAGTTTTTATCAAAAATACATAAAATCTACTTTTTATCAGAAATACAAAAAATAGATTTTTTTTTTCTAAAAATACATAATATCAATTTTTATATAAATACAAAAAAATTAAATAAATAAATAAATAAATATATTTAAATTAACTTCTTTTTTTATGGATATCCATCCATTTAAATTGTCCGGATCTTTTACCAAGTAAGATCCAACACCACACTCCATCAAACCACTTGGTGTATTTAAATTTATAACGGAAGTTTAAAGATAACTCCAAAATAAAATAATGTGGTTGTTGTTTGCAATGTTCCCCTAATTCTTGTTATATTTACGTTTTATCTAAAACAATATTCAAGGTTACTTAATACTAAAGCTAACAAGTGAAAGCAGTCCGCAATGCCAATGATTATTTGATATAACAAAAAAAACTTGTATTCATGGATAATCATCTTAACTCATTTTCTATTTGATGGAGAAAATTTGTTTCTGAATTTGAATATTTTTCGATTATAAAATACAGAGACAGATTTAGTAATGGAGATCCTAGTACTTATCTTAAATTTATCAATTTTTGCGATTACAAAATATAGAGACAGATTCGGCAATAGAGATCCTAATATCTATTTCGAATTTTCCTCGTTTATATTGATTAGTACTTTATTATTTAGATCATTTGAAATATTAGTGGCATGGTCATTGCTTTAATAATTTAGTTTGTAAAATGTATTTTTGGAATTTTCGAGATATATTTACTTTATTATTTGTAATGTAATTTGATGAAGGAAAAAGAGACTATTTTATTTTTTTAAAATTCATTGTGGGGATAGGAGCGGGACGGGGATATCCGAACCTGTTTGGGACGAGCATGAAGTTCAATTATTCATCTTTGTTAAGGATCGGGGAAATGGATGAGAATTTATCAGAGATTTGAGTTTGAGTATGAAAAAGGTAAAAATTGTCTATGCTTCACTCCATTGTCATGCTTACTTATTACAATGATGAAATAAAATCCTAGTTATGTCATAGAAAATCTTTTAAAAAAATTCACAAAAGCCGTAAATTTTTCCTAATCAATACTTCTACGAGGACAAATAGCTTCAAACTAATCCTAAAATAACTAAAATCATCATCCACCTTTTGAAACATCAAGACAACCCAGTTTTACATGCAATTTTTGAACATTTTATGCATCATGTAAATTTTAAAGTTTAGGGTTTAGGGTTTAGGGTTTTACATGCAATTCTTGAGCATTTTATACATCATGTGAATTTTAAAGTCGTGTAGGGAAGACCTAACAAATCTAACAACATTATGAATGTTGGAACTAGAAGTGTTTCAATCTTCCAAATTAACAATCACTTCCAAATTCAACCCATTAAGCAATTGATCCCAATTTTCTTCTTCAAATATGATACAACCACATTAATGAATGAATGATGTATTATCAACGATGATTATATACAAATTCATAAAATTCTAATCCCTCAATTACTCTAACTTTTTGACCAATGGTGTCACCTTTGTAATTTGGAACAAAATTTAAGCTTATAATTATTGGAATAAAATTGGTTTGTACCATATCCCTAAGATTTTGTTGATAACAAATTATTTAAAGAATAATTGGGTTACTAATATTTGTTCAATTGTGTAGGACCATAGACTAAAATTTGTAATACGGGTTAAGTTTTAACATCAAGATTAAACATTAAAGAGAAGTTGAAAGAATTAGAATCTGAAGGATCAGAACCTGGATATCAGACTCTGAAGAGGTCAACTTCTGAAGACCATAGTTTGAAGAAAGTCAACCTCTGAAGGTCCAGATTCTTAGGCTTAGACTCTGAAGAAGTTAACTTATGAAGATCAGACTCTGAAGAAAGTCAACCTCTGAAGATCCAAATTCTAAAGATTCAAACTCTGAAGCCAGTCAAAGCTCAAGGATCAAGAAGACTATGACCAATCACTATTAGTCTTTGAGGACATGTTGTCTTCTTCTGATCACGAGAAAATTTAGCAGATTTCTACAGAAGACTGAAGGAATGCAACAAATAATTCCTCTTGAAGAAATGGACTTTCAAATGGCACTTCGACGTCATTAACCATATCAGGAAACTTTCCAACATCTTTGATGATGCTTATCTAAAAGTCTCCTTGTGCATGAAGTCTTCTTCATCAACTTTTTTAGGTTTCTCTATTTAAGGAGCTGAAGATTTGAAAAAACTAATAGATTGCACCTTGACAACTAAAGAGTTGTTACTCTGTCAAAACTATAGCATAAGTTTAACTTAGAATTTCTTAACACTTGTATATTCAAGAAATTCTTAAGTCTTAAGAGTCCTATGTATTTTATTCTATTTACACCTAACATTGTATATCAAGTGTAATACTCAAGCAATCTTTTCTTTCTAAGTTAGATTATAGAAGTTTCTTGCTTGTGTGCTTGGGAACTTGAAGTATCTTTCTTGAATACTTGAGCATCTAAAGTTGCTTTCTTGTGTGCTTGAGTATTTGAAGTCTCTTTCTTGTTTCCTTGAGCATTAAAAATCTTTTACTTGTATGTTTGA